TTTTTTTTCTTTTTTTTTGGAAAAATGTCAGCTGAAAATACAGTTTTCATTTTTTTTTCCTTCGTCCAAGTTCTAAGTTAAGCTTTTAACTAAAACACGTATTTTTTCACTTTACAAGATCCCGTAAGGAGTTATACTGCAAACGCGGGCGTATCTTTTTTCGAGGGGTCACCGAAAATGTATAATATTTATAAAATATTTTTTAAATATTTCATTTTTAAATCAGAAAAAATTTTGAATAAGGCTGTTTTTTACCCGAGGAAGCCCTTAAAGTAGTTCTAGACAATTCATACTTCGGAATCGTATTATTTTTACCATTGAATATAACATTTTCATTTTAAAATACATGTACTCGTATACATATGAGACGGCCGTCTGAAAATATTCGCTTTCCATTCATCAACATCTACATAATTATTACTAGCTGCTCTATGAGTACGTTAATATTTTACTCCTTTCAACAATACTAATTATAATAACAGTAATCACACAGTCATTAGGAAGACAGTAATAAACGAAATGCGCAATTCGATGCCGCTCAATAACTTCCCGCCTTTTCTGCCATTCATAATTGTCCAAACGCCAACATGGCCACAACCAAAGCCATTGAGCGCCAACTAGCAACCGTGAGTAACACGCGCGCACTCATACATATTTGCATATATACAAACATATTCGTAGGGATTTGTTTGAGAAGAATGCCATGAATGGCAAGCGAGTAGCCACACATAGAAACACAAAAAAAGCAATGAATAACAAAACGCTCTTTCAACATTAAATAACAAAAACAACAACATAAACCATGAATGTCTGCTTTCATAGCAAATAAATATGTAAGCATGTAGGCAGTAGGTAAGTGGCAAAGCCAGCACGTGTTCTGCGAAAACAGATTACACGCTACCCAACCATGCACATTTGACCCTAGCACATGTCTTGGAGGGAAAAAATTACCCAAAACAAAAATTTTCATTTTGTGAGAGCGTCAGGCAAATGTAAATTCCCCACTATTTGTGGCAATTACTGAGAGTAAGCGTGACCGTTAGCACAAGAGAGTGCGAGAAAATGAGCTTTGCGAAAGCTTTATCGGTCGGAAATTGGCTACTGTGGGCGCAAGGTGGGCTTTGCATGCTATAGCAACACATATCCACCCACATAAACATATATACATAACTGCATATGTACACATGTATATGTGTAGGTGTTTCATGCACTTTCCTACTGCTGCTTGAAGAAGATGCTCTCACAGTCAGCTGTTTGTAGCGTTGTTGGTGTTTTTAAAAGCATTTTGGCGCTGTCATCAGCTGCTGCCACTGCAACACGACAACATGCTGCTGCTGGACCAGTTGGGAAAATCACATAGTCAGTTTGTTTTGAAATTTGCCGCGAGACGTTTGCTAAGCGCGGATAAAAAGCAATTAAAGTGAACAAGGCAAATGTTCTGCTATCGCATTGCCAAATAATTCCCTTGACTGATCATCGTCGCGAGTTGTGCATAATTGCTTAAAGGCAAAACGTTTAACTGCTTTGTTGTTGTTAATGAAATAAAATTAAATAAATAAATATATTTAGTATAAGTGTATCAACAATTGTTGTACTGTGTATAAAGTAAGAAGAGGAAAATAAATAGAATTGTGAATTTGTGAATTAATATGTGTGCAGCAGCATTAGCAACCGTGCCAACAAAGCGGGTTTCAATTCAAAATACATACGCACATACCGACATATGCAGCATTGGTTACTTAAGCCGCTGAAATGGACAAAAAACAAAAGAAAAATTTCAAGTGGACAATCAACAACTAGAAGTGAGTAGCACTGGTGAAGAGTAAAAAATAAGTAGTTAAACAAATACATAAATTGGTTATAAAACAAAAAATTATCTGTTAATACGCTATTTGACTCTACGTAAAGCACTGATAAAAAAGAAACTCGTGTTGTGTAAGAAAAAACATAATGTACTTAAAAACCATGTAACCAGTGCTTGAACAATTAAGTGAGTAAACGGCTTCATATAAAGAGAGGCCGATAATATATTATTTTTAAATTTACATACATGCAATCTATGAGTATACTTTTATTAAAAAATATTAATAAACTTTTTTAGTATTAATTAAAAAAAAATAGTTTATCAAATTAAATTAGTTTATTTATGGCTTAAAACCGCTCAGCCAACCATAATTTTATGAATGATTTAAAAGAAAAAGTGTGAGTACGTAACCCTGAATTTTTGAAGACAACTTTTAAAGACCATATACTTTGGGCTTTGCTGAATTTATCACAGTAATTGTATTTTTTGTTACTAAAACCTACAAAAATAATAAAAAAGCAACATAAGTTGCAAGTAAAATAAAATTCGTTACATTTCTAAAACTTGTTTTGGCACTACGGTTAAAACTTAAATTGAATATGATATATTTTGTTATTTTTCTAAACAAAAAATATTTAAACTAAACAAAAATTATTAAAATAAATATAATGTTAACAAAAAATAAAAATTTTTTTTTTTGTTTATGTAACGCATTATTCAATAGCTTCCTTTCAATACAATTCAAAACTTTAAATTTAGATATTTTCCTTAGTAGTCTTTAGGTTAGGCTTGTTTGAACCCGAATTCACAGTCAACAAAATGCCAAGAACTTATTTTTATGAGTATTAAAAATTGTCGAATTCAAACTGTAAAATTATTTTTTACGCAATCAATTCAAAATTGAAAGCTATGACTTGTACTTTCTGTATAAAACTCAATCGAGAATATTTCCTTGAATCACTTCAGCCTTGAAATGTGTCGTTGTACATGCGATCTTTTTTGATTATTTTTTTTTTTTTTTTGTATAAGAAGATGCTGATCTCTGATTTTGCTTAAATATACATATGTATTATTCTTCTTTACTTTGGAAATTCCAAAAGAAGCCAGGTCCTTCTCCACTTGGTCTTTCCAACAGAGCGGAGGTCTTCCTCTGCTACTTTCAGAGCTGCAGTGTTTTCGTCGATACGTACGACATGACTCAGCCAACGCAGCCGCAGTCTTTTAATTCGCTGAATTATGTCAATGTCATTGTAAGTCTTATACAACTAATCATTCCATAAACATCAACCTTTCTCTCGAAACTAGTAACGTCGACTCATCAGATGTTGTCATCGTCCTTGCCTCAGCACCATATAGCAGGAAGGGAATAATTAGTGACTATATTGGTTTTTGTTCGTCGAGAGAGGACTTTACTTCTCAATTACCTACTCAGTCTGAAGTAGCACATGTTGCAAGAGTTATCCGGCGTTGGATTTCCAGGCTGACATTATTGGTGGTGTTTAAACTGGTTTCAAGATAGACGAAATAATCTGCGACCACAAAGTTATGACTATCAAAAGTGACGTGAGAGCCTAGTCGGGAGTGCGCCGACTGTTTGTTTGATGACAGGAGATATTTCGTCTTGCTCTCGCTCCCTACCAGCCCCATTTGCTTTGTTTCTATATTATATATATACATATATAAATATTGACTATAATTAATTTTACTAGAAATATATTTTACAGATAATGATCAGGATATATTCTTCCTTTAAAAATTACTTACACAAATTTTTTCAAGAAATATTGACAGAAGCTTTAGTACGAATTTCAAAATTTAAAGTGCTAAAAATCAGGTATTGTTCCCACATTTTATATTATAAAACCATTGTACCGCTCACATATTATTTAGTATATGTGATCTTCTGATGTTCAATACCGACTATCTGAGCACAGTCTGGTCAAGGTCGAAACTCAACTCGTCCTTGCTATGAATATTGGCCATGCATTCGCAAAATCGGTATTGTAACGTATATATAATTACTATATAAAAACACATAGCAGGTACATATACCATTGTAATTATATGTAAATATGACTAGACATACACGCTGTATATAAATGACCAATTCACATTCACGCTTGAATTCATTTTCCATTACTGAATTAGTGTCCTTTCATTTTTCAGCATTACTCTGTTGCTGATAAAAAAGCGAAGAGTGCCAGATTCGCGGGAAATTCCGAAGGAAACTATTAATCCAATGAAAGCGGTGATAGCAACCAACCCGTAAACACTTCATGGCGGCTGCTGAAGAAGCGAAAAAATACAAAAAACCATATAATGTGAGTGAATAAAAAACAAAGACAATTCCAAGTATGGATAAAAACTGTAAAGGCAAAGGCAGCAGTATTCTGCTGAAAATTTTTCAAAATAAATTAATTAAGTTAAAAGAGCAAAAAACTGTTTTATGTGAAAATAATAAACATATACTATATATATAACATTTAGAGAAAAAATATTATTTAACGTAATTCAATACTAAAAACTAAAACCCGCAACACAATAACAACAAATAGCAGATTTCCGAAAGTACAAAAAACATGCGTAGACGTGCGAACGAAATGCAGCGAAAGCAAAAGTGTTACAACAATTGAATTATACTAATAGGAGAATAACAACAGTCATGCATGCTAAAATGGTACAAAAATCACTACAACAACAATAACAATTACACTAGAAAAATAGTAAACGCACAATCATTGAGTACACAGTCTGCTTTAATAGCCACGCATAAAGCAAAAACAAAGAAAAATTTAAAAAAACATACAGTGGGCAATCCGAAATTTAAACCAAGACAAACAGATACATTTTAATCTAAACGCCGACAATGTAAACGCGCCGGAATAGCTGCTCGAGTCGCGCGGACGGTTATCGAACTTTGGGCAGGCGAACGCATCGTCATCGCTCGGCATAAAAACGACTAAAACAAAAAGCAAACAAAAAGTAGATTAATGAGATTTAACGGTAAATTAAAAATAAATCAGAACACACAAAAAACAACAACAATTTATCAATGAATAGCAGATGAAGAAGTGTGCGAAATTCTCTGTAAAGTGGCAACAAAATTGTGTTGCATAAGAAATAAAACTTTCAATTAAGCATTGTTTTTGTGAGTAAAATAATAAAAAAAACGCGTAAGTAATGCATGTGTAAGATTTAATTTAATTAAGGAAACAAATGAAATGTGTAAAAGTTCTGATGTATGTTGTTCGCATTGTTTGTGAAAATTCTATCGAGAAAATTATAACAGGGCTATCAGACTAAAACGTTTTAAAGCAAAGCAGCACCGTTGGATTATATTTCACTTGGTGTATAATTCAATTTAAGAAAAATCATAAGAAAACGGATAAGCAAATTATTTATAATAAACAGCTGTTTTCGATTCACCACTTCTCTGATCGCTCGGTTAAACTCTGTTCCCCTAGTACGTAAGTAATTGATCTTCGGTTAGTAAAAAAAGCAACAAAGTTATTATTTGGAGTTCCATATAAGAGAGAATGTAAAGCGTAGACTCGTTAAAATGTCTTTAAGTTAAGTTAAATTATGTCAACAGGCTGATTGCTAGTGAGACCACGAATTATCTCACTTACTTGCTAGATACGCTTGTCCATTACGGTGCCCAGAACCCTTAAGTATGCATCAAAAAAACCCCATTCACATGTACAAATTCCAGTAAATTGTAAAAGTTTTTATAAACGGAATTTGAACTGAGATGCTTCAACCTTGGGCTCGCGAAGCTGGACAGTGGAAGACAAAGTGTCTTGATATTTCCACCTCTCTCTCTCAGAGCAACTTTGACAAGTTGACAACTACAAATCTTGTTTAAAAATCATTTTTAAAAAAGTTTTAAACGCAATTAGTTTAATTAATTTGGTTTTGTTTCAAAGTATTGAAAGCTGTTTTTTATTAATATAATTCAGTGACAAATTAGGGTTAATTATCATAAAGTTTGACTTCCTCACAAAGAGATTTGCATCTAGAAATATATATGCATAACCATTACATGTCAAAACGTCGCAATACTATATGGTCTTGGAGCAAATGTATTCAACATACGCATTATTTTGACTTCTATTCGAAATACTGAACATCAGTGGAAACAAATTAATATTTGTCTAAGAATAATATTATATTTGCAAGTTGAAATTTCAAAGATGATCGCTAAATCTTAAAACCAGCTGCTAGTTCCACTAAATATAACTATAAAATGAACCCGAACTTAATTTAGTCTTAATATTTTATTGTCCCCAAAGTATGTCTGATATTTGCTGCCTTTAAATTTAAGGCCTATCTTGATGTCAAACGTTGCTTCTCAAATAATAAAGCTTACTTACTATACCTGCCTAGTGACAGCAAGTCAGCTCTACCATATTACGGTACAAAGCCGCATGGAATGATGTGCCGCCTTTTGCCGGGCAAACTTTATATGCTAATGATTTGGATTATTGTCGCTTAAGCCGGCTATACTGTTATCTTTCGGCATAAAGTTGCTTGGCCAATTTTGTTGTAAACAACACGCTGACAATAAATTCGTGATGACTTACAGATTACTTAGGATCGAAGTGAGTAAAAATTTACAGCATTTTGTTCGCATGAAAACTATGTTTATGAACTTACATTGCATTTTTACTCCAAGTTCATTTGTGTAAATTTGGTAATGGAAAATTTTATTACACAGTTGGCAAATAGAGCGTTGCAGAATATGTCTATATATATATTTTTTTTTTTATTGATGTCTTTTTGTACAATTAAATTTAGATTAAACTATGCAAAGTTTATAAATATATATTTTAATAGATTTCTGTTTGTTAGCTGCATATTGTCTTTTGAAAACTTTAATAAAAGTTGAAGCTTCTTTATGGCATCTCCATTAACGATCCAATTAACTAGGTTCTTCCATTTCGAATGGCAGTAGAGCTAAAAGTTCTATGTGTATACAAGCACATACACAAACAGACATGTCAAACTAACCGTAATGAAACTATTATTTTAACGCAGTGTGCTTAAATAGTTAAGCTCCCATTTTAATTAATGGCAGAAAGTAACAAATGAAATGAAGCTCTTTTATTTTATATTATTTATGTATATGTATATATACATAAATTTTTTCATCAGCATGTTCTAAAATAATAGAATTAATAACTGTAAAATCACTGAACGAGCATCGAAAGAAGATTATAAGTTTCACTGAAACACTCTTTTCCTAAAAAGTATGACAATTGGAGGCTTTATCTTCGAAATACCAAAACAAGTACTTTTAGAATATCAAAGCGAAGCTTTCAACGAAACGAAACTTTTTCCAAGCATTGCAACAACTTTAAGTTAAATTTTTGTTTAACCTTAAATGCAGTTATTGATAGTTTTAAGTATGAAGAAGAACAAAAATTTCGTAAAAACAATGTTTTTCCCAAGAACTCTCCAAAAAGTGCCAAGCTAAGCAACAGAATACTTTCTCAAAAGACACATACTGTAAGCGCACCACCGCGTATGAGTAACTAAATGTATGATGAGCCATTTATGCTACTTGCATTCCAATTTAATTACCAAAATTTAGATACATATATATGCTGCACATACTTATTTTGGTTTCTGACATAGCAGAGTGTTGTGATCACGCGATTATGTGAGCAGCACTTGCTAGTCGCTGGGCTAATAAATCGTGCGTAATTTTTTATCCAATTATTTAGACCTTAAACGCCGTGCACTTTGAGATTTCTGCGCAACTAGGCCCATTTTAATTTGTCGGGCTAAACTTTTTAAGAAAAATTTATATAAATAGCACAAACTTAAAGTAAATTTCGAAGGAAGACAGTTCCGAAACGTAAATAATTGGTAAATTAAAAGAGTGGATACTTACACATACACATACGTCTATAGATCATAGAAGGCTATCACATCGACGTAGCGCATACAATTTGACTACATCATTAACGAAAACTAAAATTAATTTGTATTTAGCGAAAACTCGCAAATAAGAAATATCGAAATTTACGCTTTGCTTTTGGCTCGCTCTGTCTCACATATCAGCGGTCTCTAAGTAAAAATGCTTCCACTCAGGCCTGTGCCAACTAAATGCTCTACATTTTATCAGTACATTAATGTGGCACATAAACTAATATAAGTACTGATATCTGTTATATTATCCCCGCAATATTGCATGTAAGCAGCGCCGCATCGCGTCCGCCAACTAAGCTGAGCACAATTTATGTGCCTTCATTCTTAATCAAATTTTACCGTACTTGGCTGCTTTGTGTGAATATTTTTATGCGCTTCCGCTTGGCTGCTGTTGGCAAGCCATGAATATTTACCTTTTGTATTTCTGGCACTTACTTTCATTGGCGGCAATTGTGCAGCCTTTTGAGGAAAATTTACACATGCTTTCATTAGACAGTCTGTCATCGTCTTAAGCACTTTTGGCTATACAACCTATACATACATATGTTTATGAATATATATATATATATATATATAATGTAATACATATATAAGTAAGTGGGTGCGTGCGCGTTGTCACTTTATTTAGCCAATTTCCCACCTGTGCCAGCATTGCTCTGGAAGTGGAGTTTCCATAAAATGGCGCGTTTGTCACTTACTGCATACCGTTCACTCAGCGACACAACTGAAAATCATATTCAGAGCTAAATTCAATTTTCAGTACTTCCGCCCCTTTGTTGACGCGTCCATAATTACATTTGTGCGTGCTCATATTTTAAATATAGGAAAAAAAATTATTTAAGTGAATCATAAAAACGTGACGAAGTTCTGCTCATATATTCAGGCTGCTTAGTGTATGTCATAATATTAGTTTGTAAAAAAAGTCTTGCGGTATTTTCGCTAGTTGGCGCTGAGAGCGCATAGTTCTGGTTTTATTCGTCGCATCGGGTCATGCTATACCTCATTTCACGCACTAACACCTGTTGTTTGATTGTCGTTTCTTTTAGTCGTTCGTGAGTTATAACGTCGCAAACATGGAGCAAAATAAAGAGAAAATACGGCATATCTTACAGTACTACCACGACAAAGGCAAAAATGCATCTCAAGCCGCCAATAAAATTTGTGCAGTTTATGGACCCGATACAGTTTCCATTT